GTGTAGACACTCCCGCCCCCCCCCCCCCCCCCCCCAAAAAGGATCCTTGCCCTTCCGTGCCCCAGGTTGCATGGCGTCAGAGCTCCGCCCATGTGACAGTGTTCAGGCCTGAGGATGGTCACATGGGGCGGGGTCACATGCTCCCCCATACTGAGGAGCCGCCTCCCTATATCATTTTCTCCAATAGCTTATAGGTAGGTGCAGCAGATGGGAGTGGTGTAAGCCCTGCCCTAGGCTGATGGGCAGACGGAAGGGTAAGCGCCTCCCTGTATGGGCGGGCTCTGCTCAGGTGGATGATAAACCAATAATGGACAGAAAAGGAACACTCGTAGAAGGACAGATCAGAGTGCTGGGGGCGGCCAAGAGCAGAGGAACCAGAAATGACCAAAATCTTCTGAATCACCAAAACGCCAATCACCGGCTCTACATGTACGATGAGGCCAATCCCCGGCACTCCATGTACGATGAGGCCAATCGCCGGCACTCCATGTACGATGAGGCCAATCACCGGCACTCTATGTACGATAAGGCCAATCACCGGCACTTCATGTACGATGAGGCCAATCCCCGGCACTCCATGTACGATGAGGCCAATCACCGGCACTCCATGTACGATGAGGCCAATCACCGGCACTCCATGTACGATGAGGCCAATCCCCGGCACTCCATGTACGATGAGGCCAATCCCCGGCACTCCATGTACGATGAGGCCAATCGCCGGAACTCCATGTACGATGAGGCCAATCGCCGGCACTCCATGTACGATGAGGCCAATCCCCGGCACTCTATGTACGATGAGGCCAATCGCCGGCACTCCATGTACGATGAGGCCAATCCCCGGCACTCCATGTACGATGAGGCCAATCCCCGGCTCTACATGTACGATGAGGCCAATCACCGGCTCTAAATGTAGGATGAGGCCAATCGCCGGCACTCCATGTACGATGAGGCCAGACACCGGCACTCCATGTACGATGACGCCAATCACCGGCTCTACATGTACGATGAGGCCAATCGCCGGCACTCCATGTACGATGAGGCCAATCGGCGTCACTCCATGTACGATGAGGCCAATCACCGTCACTCCATGTACGATGAGGCCAATCACCGGCACTCCA